TCTGGGAAGAGAGAACATTCCGGGGGGCGGGGGGGGGAGGTGAGGGGGATGGTCGCACAGCAGGGTGGATGCTGAGTGCGCTGAGCTGGGCTCGTCCCAGTGGTTAACTGGGCATTTTGTCCAGGCCCGTGTGGCTCAGTGGGTAGAGCGCCAGTCAGTGGACCAGAGGGTCTCGGGTTAGATTCTGGTTCAGGGGATGTGCCCAGGGTTGCAGGCTCCTCCCCGGCCCCGGGCCCTGATTGGGTACATGCAGGAGGCTCTTAGAGGCGGCCTGTGCTGCTCACGCTGCCACGGCTGGTCAGGAGCTGGAGCCCCTCAAGAGGCCCGGCTGGCCCCACCTGACTGTCTGTCTGGGTCACCAGGCCTGGTCGCCAGGGCCTGGTCACCAGGGCCTGGTCGCCGGGGCCCAGTTATTGGGGGCCTGGTTGCCGGGGCCTGGTCGTCAGGACCTGGTTGCTGGGAGCCTGGTCGTCAGGGGCCTGGTTGTTGGGGCCCGGTTGTCGGGGGCCTGGTCATCGGGGCCTGGTCGTCGGGGCTTGGTCGTTGGGGGCCTGGTTGTCGGGGCCCGGTTGTCAGGGCCTGGTTGCCGGGAGCCTGGTCGTCGGGGCCTGGTCGTTGGGTCCTGGTGGTTGGGGGCCTGGTCCCTGGGGCCTGGTCGCTGGGGACCAGGTTGTCGGGGGCCTGGTCGTCGGGGCCCGGTTGTTGGGGGCCTAGTCATCAGGGCCTGGTCGTCGGGGCCTGGTCGTCGGGTCCTGGTTGTCGGGGGCCTGGTCACTGGGGCCTGGTCACCAGGGACCAGGTTGTCGGGGACCCAGTTGCCGGGTCTGGTCGTCGGATCCCGGTTGTCGAGGGCCCGGTTGCCGGGTCTGGTCGTCGGGTCCCAGTTGTCGGGGGCCTGAGCATCGAGGACCTGGTCGCTGGGGCCTGGTTGCTGGGGGACCCAGTTGTCGGGGGCCCGGTCGCCGGGGCCCGGTTGCCGGGGCCTGGTCATCGGGGCCTGCGTGCGGGGTCGATCTGGGGAACTCGGAGGTGCTTCCCGCCCCCGGCCCTGTGTTGTCAGAGGGGAAGTGGGCTGGGCCGCTTCCTGTTCTTGCCGGCTCAGTTCAGGCTCAGTGTCAGGCTCAGTGACGGGCACGGTCACAGCCAGAGAGCCCGCGCCCCTCGGTCAGCCCCCGCGCCTGGGCCGGAGATTCAGACGGCGGCTGGTCCCGAACCAGCCGGGCCGGTGAGTCCGCACCGGGGAGGGGCCGCAGGGGCCGCAGGGGCGTCTGACAGCCGAGGGGTGCTGGGGGGTCACAGCCTGAGGCCTCACCAGGGAGCCCGGGTGTCAGTGCCCCTCCCCCCATCCCCACGCCATGTGGGCAGAGGGTTTGGTGCCAGAACCTCACCCAGACTGTCTCCTGCTAAGGTCTCCCTCCTGCTGGTCCCTCCCAGGCTCAGGAGCTTCCGGGTGCCCAGCCTGGCGCTGACACGTGGGGTGGGGTGGGGTGGGGTGGGGGGCTGGCGGGAATGAAGCAGCTGCTCCCCGAGTCCAGGGGCTGCGGGCCCAGAGCTGGAGGCGGGAAGGGGGAGATGGGTGCGAGCACAGATCTGGGGGCTCAGCCTCACTGGTGCTGAGGGACATGCAAGCGTGTGTTGCAGGGTGTGTTAGACCCGATGAAAACCGGGGACAGGAGGTGAGCCCCACGGGGTGGGGGGCAAGGCAGGTCCGCTCACTGGCCGGGGAGGTGAGCTGGGACTGGGGAGCCGGCGGGCCCACAGGAGCTGGGCCGTGGGAGCCGTGTGGAGGGGAGAGGCCAGACCACCCACCCAGGCGTTGGGACGAGGGGACTCGGGGACACGGGGACGCAGGGACAGGGGGGAGGAGGGATGGGGACACGGGGGGATATGGGGATGAGGGGACGCGGGGACGCGGGGACGGGGTGATGGCGGGATGGGGGGACATGGGATGAGGGGACAAGGACGGTGGGGACAGCATGCTGTGCGAGAGGCTCCCAGTTGGCGTGTTTGTCTGTGTGAGACGTCCATGGTAAAAGCACGTGTGTGGACCGACAGGGCCTCACGGACCTCGTGGGAAAGTGGGTTTGGTGTGACTGTGCCTGCACCTGGCCCTGGGCAGCGCGGTGGGCGTGGGGGACGCGGGCTCCGCCTGCTGGCCTGTCCCCCCACATCGTGTCCAGGGGAGGGGGGCGGCCCTGCAGGGAGGGGGGCGGCCCTGCAGGGAGGGGGGCGGCCCTGCAGGGAGGGGGGCGGCGCGGCAGGGAGGGGGGCAGCCCTGCAGGAGGGCGCTGTGCCCGTGGGCCGCCTGCTCCTCACTGGCCACTGGCCAGACGGCCACAGGCACCGGGCGGGGGACACTGGGAGGACACGCGCTGCCCCCTGGCTGCTGCGGGCTCCCGGCCGCCAGCGCGGGAGCAGCCGGGGCCACTGAGGCTGGGGGCATGGCCTGGAGGGGGCAGGAAGCAGAGGGTGACAATGGAACGGGGTCACGGGCAGGGAGGGGGCCACGTGTCCCACCTGAGGACAAGCTCTGTGGGGTGTCCGCCGGGGAGTGGGCGGCCAGGGTGGGGCGGGGCCTGGGCCCTGGGTCTGGGGGTCCGGGGGCCTGGGTCTCCTCTCAGGCTGTGCGGGCCCGGCTGCTCCTCTCGGGGGTCCCTTTCTGCCCCCCCACTCGTCCGGCCTGGCTGTCAGGCCTGAGGGCAGGGCTGTGGCCCCGGTCTGGGCATCAGCGCCCGGTTTTGTCCAGGACCCGCCCGCCACGGCCTGCCCTCAGGGCGGCGCTGGGAGAGAGGGAGGGGAGGGCTGGGGGGAGGGCCCCCACCTCCTCAGAGGGCCGAGCATGGCAGGTGGGCCTCGCCACGGCGCCCGGGGGGACCCAGGCCCCGGCCTGCAGCCATCTGACCTGAGACCCAGGGACGAGGGCAGGGTGAGAGAGGCCTGTGCCCTCCAGACCCTGTGAACCCCAGGATCTGTGACCTCCAGGACCTGTGACCCCTAAGCCCTGTGACCTCCAGGCCCTGTGACCCCCAGGATCTGTGACCCCCAGGCCCTGTGACCCCTAAGCCCTGTGACCGCCAGGCCCTGTGACCTCCAGATCCTGTAACCCCCAGGATCTCTGACCCCCAGGCTCTGTGACCTCCAGGCCCTGTGACCTCCCGGCCCTGTGACCCCCAGGATCTGTGACCCCCAGGATCTGTGACTCCCAGGATCTGTGGCCTTCCAGCCCTGTGTCCTCCAGGCCCTGTGACCTACTGACTGTGTGACCTCCCGGCCCTGTGACCTCCCGGCCCTATGACGTCCAGGCCCTGTGACCCCCAGGATCTGTGACCCCCAGGATCTGTGACCTCCAGGATCTGTGACCCCCAGGATCTGTGACCTCCAGACCCTGTGACCCCCAGGATCAGTGACCCCCAGGATCTGTGACTCCCAGGATCTGTGGCCTCCCAGCCCTGTGTCCTCCAGGCCCTGTGACCTCTAGGCCCTGTGACCTCCAGGCCCTGTGACCTCCTGACTCTGTGACCTCCCGGCCCTGTGACCTCGTGGCCCCTGTGGGATGTCAGTCATTTGGCGAATGGGTTTCTGGATTCTTCTTTGCCTCGGCCCTTTCCTCGCGTGCATTCGGTCTGACCCAGCATGTCTGGTGAGGGGGCGTCTGGTTTCAGGGTGAACACAGGCTTCCTGTGGTTTCCAGCGGTGGAACTGCCTTCGGGGGCGGGGCTGGGAGCCCATCGGGCGTGTGGGCAGCCCCGAGTGGCCGGGGCTCGGAGTGGGACGCAGCTCCGGGCTCGGGCTCATCCACACCCTCTGAGGTGGAGCCTCTCAGGCGCCTGTGCTTTGGGCGGGAGTCAGGGGAGGTCGGAGGGCTGCTGGGTGCCCGGGGCCTGGGTCCTTTCTCAGGAGCATGCGGGGACGTTCTTTCAGGCGACAGGTGCTGTGCATCTTGGGAAACGGTGGTCACACTGTGCGGGTTCACGCTGCCATCGGCTCAGGGAAAGGGGTCCTTCCTCACGCTCCCTCGGAGCCGGGAGGCGAAGGGACTGCGCTGGAGCTTCTCATCGTCTTACTTGTGGGGCTGCGCTTCTTTCTCCTGGGAATTACCTGCTCGTTGGCTCTGACACTTGTTGTTGATTTGTAGGAGCTCTTTATATATGAAGGACACACTGTAGAGCCCGCAGGATGCGTGCAGGACGTGACTCATCATAACGGCTCCCTCACCAAGGCCTCATGCCTTCGCTTTTGATTTAACCCGATTTCCCTAAAGCGATTTCAACCTGCTTGTTCTCCAGCTCATGGTGAACCCTGAGCGAGCTTCGGAGCAAGACCCACAGGATGTGATGTGCCTGGGGCGCTGCTGAAGAGCCACCCCGACCCTGGACCCGGCCAGCATGCCAGGTGAGAGCCCCACGCCTCCCCTGCCTCGAACCCGTGGGCGGGGCCCCAGGGAGGTCTCCGCCGGGCACTTCTGGCCGACGGCGAACTCCGGCCGGGAAAGGAGCAGGGGCTCTGTGGTTGGAGCGTCGTCCACGCACTAGGAGCTTGCAGGTTCCATTCCCATCCCGTCTGGAGTCTCTCTCACATCCATGTGCCTCTCTCTCCCCCTTCCTCCTATCCTCAGCGAAGGATGAAAAGCAGCCTGCAGCCCAGCTGCTTTGATTTCAGATAAGAAGGAAAAGAGAGAGAGAGAAACGTCAAAAATGAGAGAATCATGGACCGGCTGCCTCCTGCACGCCGCCCCCCCCAACCTCCCCCCCCCGGGGATCCAGTCTGTAGCCCGGGCCTGTGCCCTGACCTGGAATCGAACCCAGGACCCTTCCGTGGAAGGCCGGCCCTATCTCCATTGACCAGGGCGGGATCTTATCATTTCTGAGTGTCTCTGGAAGGGCCCCTCCACCACCCTCACGCCGCCGTCTCCGTCTGCAGGACACCTCACGGCTGCAGGAAACCTCACGGCTGCAGGAAACCTCACAGCAACCGGTGTCTGTGAGCCCAACCGCTGCAACATGTCCTTCGAGGAGAGCCGCGTGCTCGCCATGGCCGTGTACGGCGCCGTGTGCGCGCTGGGGCTGCCCGCCAACTGCCTGACGGCCGGGCTGGCGCTGCGGGAGGCGTGGCGGGGCAGCGTGCTGGCCGTGTACCTGTGCGGCCTGGCGCTCTGCGAGCTGCTGTACGCGGCCACCCTGCCACTGTGGGTGCTGTACGTGCACAAGGGCCACTGCTGGGCCCTGGGCGACCTGGCCTGCAAGGTCACCGCCTTCATCTTCTTCTGCAACCTCTACGTGAGCATCCTGCTGCTCTGCGCTGTGTCCTGCGACCGCTGCGTGGCCGTGGCCTACGCGCTGGAGAGCCGTGGCCGCCGCCGCCGCCGCACCGCCGGCCTGCTCACGGCCGCCGCCTTCCTGCTCGTGGGGCTGGTCCACTACCCCGTGTTCGAGATAAAAGTGAAGGGCACCTGCTTCGAGACGCTGCCCGTGGACGCCCGGGCGGCCCACTACTACTACGCGCGGTTCGCCGTGGGCTTCGCCCTGCCGCTGGGCGTCATCGCCGGCGCCAACCACCGCGTCTTCCGGGCCGTGGGCCGCAGCGCGGGCCTGAGCGCCGCCCGGAAGGCGCGGGCGCGGCGCACGGCGCTGGCGGTGGTGGCCATCTTCCTGGCCTGCTTCGCCCCCTACCACCTGGTGCTGCTGCTCAGGGCCGCCGCCTTCTCCTACTACGGCGGCGACGAGGGCGCCCTGTGCCGCCTGGAGGCCCGCGTGGGCACCGCCTCCGTGGCCTTCCTGTGCCTCACCACGGTGAGCAGCGTGGCCGACCCCGTGCTCTACATGCTGGCCACGGCCCGCTCCCGGCAGGAAGCGTCCTGGATCCGCAGGAAGTGGACGGCGTGGTCTGCGGGGACGGAGGCCACGAGGCTCACGCGTCTGAAGGACTCGGAGGCGAGGCCGTCGCCCGTGTCGCTGGCGGGCAGCTGCCTGCTCCCCAGCCCCGCGCCGCCCCGGGGGACCCGGCCGGGCGCCCTGCAGAGGCTGCGGAAGGTGTCCTGCTGAGCCCGGGGGCCCGGGGCCGGCGGCACGGCTTCCCCGTCCACGGAACCCGCCCACCTGTGTCCGTGGCACTGCCGTGACAGCCTCAGGAAGCCGTGCCACTGATTCCTTGTTCCTGGAGCCACATGTTCCACACTCCTCTTGCCCTCGGGGCCCGGCCTGGCTCTCCCAGGGGGCCCAGGAGCCAGGCAGCCCGGCAGGCAGGAGGCCCGGCGGCCACAGCTCGCCTGGCGGTTAGCTGGCACGTTCCCGCACCGTGGAGGTGCCGAGTGAGCATCCAGGGGAGACTTAAAACAATATGTACGTATTGATACACTGATGTCAGAGAGGAAGCGAGAGGGAGGGGTAGGAACATCCATGATGAGAGAGGATCATGGACCCGCTGCTTCCTGCACGCCCTGCACAGGGGGCCGAGCCTGCCACCCGGGCCTGGGCCCTGACCGGGAATCGAACCCCGAGCCACAAGGCCAAGACTCATTTCTAGGCTTTCTGGTGGGTGTGGCTCTGACAACCGAGAGTTCCTGGTGGCCGTGCACCGGGAGCTCAGGCAGAGCCTGGTTCCCGTGGGGCACCCAGGCCTGTGGGGCAGGAGCCCAGCCCCGAGGGCCCTCGCGGGGTGGCTGGCTGTGTGCCGAGGTCCGGCGCTGCAGGCCGCCGAGCCCTTGGGGAGCTGGGGTGCCACGTGCCCCCCGGAGGAAGCCCAGGGCTCCTGGCTCCGGGCAGGGCTGGGATGGTGACCGGGTCCGAGGCTCCGAGGCTGTGGGACTCCCTTCCCTCCGGGTTCCCGCATAGCTGTCTGGAGAGCAGTGGGGCCGGGCCAGGCTGGATCAGAGCATCCACCTCTCACAGGCGCCGGCGGAGCCCGGGCCGGAGAAAGTGGGCTCTCCAGAAACCACTGGTGGGGTCAGACCCGGGCTGACCCCCGACAAGCCTCTCTGGGCCAAGCCACATCCACTGCTGCCTCAGTTTCCCCATCTGCCCCAGGGCCAGCCACACCTGCCTCACTAGGCCTCCGCCTCGGCTACTCACAGCTCACAGCACAAGGACAGACGCCCAGCCAGCCGGCCGGGCCAGGCCCCTCCCTGTTTTGGGGTCCTTTCCCAGGAGGCCGTGCGGGTACGGGCCGTGTGTGGAAGGCAGCGCTGGCTGTCTGTCTGTCTGCACCGGGAGAGGCACTGAGAAGCACATTAAGAAATAAAACGGGATGCTTGCGTGTCCGTCTCAACTTCCCGTTTGAGTGAAACAACGTCCTTTTCCCTGTTAGAGTAAAACTTCCCTCCGGGGCACCCCGCTCTCTCAGGGTGGGCTGGGGGAGTCCAGGCGGGGGTGGGGGCACGCGACGCTCCGAGGGGCAGGGTGTGTGCTTCCGGGGGCTGCTCAGTCTGCACCACAGACGGCGGCTAAGGCGGCTGGGTCTCCTGAGGCGGGCAGGAAGCCAGAGGAGGCGGCATCTGGGCCGGTTCCGCCGGAGGCTCAGGGGGGCTGGCCACATCCCCCCAGCTGTGGGGCTGCCGTCCTCCTGGGCTCATCTCTCACGGCTCTGCTCCCCCTCTGGGCCCCTGTCCCTTCTATTATTTTATTTTATTTATATATTTTTATTGATTTCAGAGAGGAAGGGAGAGGGAGAGAGAGATAGAAACCTCAGTGATGAGAGAGGATCACTGCTCAGCTGTCTCTAGCACACACCGCGCTGGGGATCGAACCCACAACCCAGGCATGTGCCCTGACCGGAATGGAACCCTGGGCCTTCCAGTCCACAGGCCGGTGCTCTATCCACTGAGCCACACCGCCCAGGGCTATCCCTTCCGTTTGTTTAAGTTAAGTTTTCTGGGGCGATTTGTAAGTTTCAAGGGTACAGTTCTCGAAGGTGTCGCCTGTGTATCCGTGGTGTGAGCTGCGCCCCCACGCTTAGCCGTGACCTCACTCTCGGTGACTGTGCTGCAGCCACAGCCTCTGGCCTTTCCTGAGAGCCGCACCCCCCACAATGCTCCCTGCGCCAGGCTCTCTTGCCTCCTGCGCCTCAGGTTCTCTGCCTGGAACATTTAAAAAATCTGTTTTGAGAGCCCTGGCTGGTTCGGATCAGTGGGTAGAGCATAGGCCTGCAGACGGAGGGGTCCCGGCTTCGATTCCAGTCAAGGGCACGTACCTAGGTTGTGGCCTGGATCCCCGGCCCTGGTCAGGGTGCATGCAGGAGGCAACCAACCAATGTGTCTCTCTCATCCTGGTCCTTTCTATCTCTCCATCTTCCCTCCTCTCTGAAATCAACACAAATGTATTTTTAAGAAGCTTTAAGAAATATGTTTTTCTTGATTTTAGAGCGGGAGAGGGATGGAGAGATAGCACGCCCCCTACTGGGGATCGAGCCTACAACCCACACATGTGCCCTGACGGGGAATCGAACTGGTGGCCGACCTCCTGGCTCCAAAGCCCCGCACTCAGCCCCTCCCCTCCCACGCCCCGCCCCGTCCTACCCACGCCCCGCCCCTCCGGCCCCCTCCCTCACACGCCCCGCCCCTCCGGCCCCTTCCCTCTCATGCCCCGCCCCCTTCCTGCCCCACGCCCCGCCCCTCACTTACCCGCCCCTCCTGCCCCTCCCTCTCATGCCGCCCCACCCTCTTCCTGCCCTACGCCCGCCCCGCCCCCTGCCCCTCCCCTGCCCCGCCCCCTTCCGGCCTCACGTCCCACCCCCTTCCATGCCCCTCCCCCTGGTGCTCTTCCTCTCGCATCCTCGCCCCGCCTCCAGGAGGCCCGCGCAGGCGCAGTAGGGCCGCGCGCGGAGACCTGGGAGCGGGGGGGCGGGGCGGAGGGCGCGGGCCCAACGGCCAACGCGGCCGCGCGGGAACTGCAGCGGCAGGCCCCGCCCCCGGTTTGAACCAGAGACCCCGCCCCCGATCTCAGCCAATCGGCGGGCGGGCCGGCCGCGCCTGGCGGCCCTTTGTGGGCGCTGAGCGGCCCGCCCCGGCTCCGCCCCCTCGGCGCGGCGGTGCGGACGGCGGCCGCCAGGTGAGCTGTGCGTCTGGGCTCCGGTGCCTCCGGGGGGCGGCGGGGTCCGCGGGCGCGGGGAGGCTCGGGTCTGGGGGGGCGGGGAGGCGGCACGTGGTCGCCTGGGGGCCTGGGTGGCGGGGCGGCCGGGAGGCTCGGGGTGGCGGGCGGCTGGGATTCCGAGGGTGGGGGTGGGGGTGGCGGCGTCCGCGGGGCTGGGGTCTGGGGAGGTGGGAGGCGGCACGTGGTCGCCTGGGGGTCTGGGGTGGCAGAGCAGCCTGGGGACCTTGGAGGGTCGGGGCGGCCTGGGACTCCGAGGGTGGGGGGGTGAGGGTGGCCCGGGGTCCCGGGGCGGCGGGCGGCGGGCGGTGGCGGCGATGGGCGCCCGGAAGAGGGGCGCGACCTTGTGGACCTCTGCCCCCCCATTCCCGCCCCTCCAGCCCCATTTTCACCCAAAAGTAACAGCTCGTGGCTGTAGTCCGGCCCCTTTAGACAGAGACACGCCGAGAGGGTTTGCTGGGCGGGATGTGTAGGGAGCCCCCCTGGTCTCCTTCCGGGGGCCTTGGACCAGGTGGGTCAGGCTTCCCTATCACCCAGGAGACCCTCCGTGAAGTTCGTGGGGACTCCCACTGACAAAGTTACAGCTCCACCCCTTGCCCTGAGGCTGCCCCTCCTTCCCCACCCACCCAGTTACCCTCCCACCCACCCAGTCACCCACCCTCCCAGTCACCCATCCATCCTTCCTTTTATCCTTCCGCCGCCCTTCCACACACCCATCCTGTGGACCACAGGGAGGCTCGGTCCCCCTCCTGACCGCAGTCCTTGCAGAGTGAGTGGTGGGACACTTGAATTTCCTCTCTGTCTCAGTGAAGCTCTGTCTGCTGGAACATGAAGCCTTTCAAAGTGGCACCTCCCCGGAGCCCCGTGGGTGCCCCCTTTGTTTCTCGGTGGTGGTTGCCTCGTACCCGGATGCTAAGGACATTTTGCAATGGCTTCCCTGCTCCAGACTGCGAAGGGCCCAGCTCTCTGGTCGGGGAGGGCCGGAGCCGGCTTGGGGCCAGCAGCGTGGGGCCTCGGGGGTCTGACACACGTGCTCTGCCCGCCTCCTGGCAGCCTCCCAGTGCCCAGGCCGGTGGAGACTGACGGGCAGGGCGGGCTGCCCTGTCCAACCCCCTGGCAGGAGCGCTGTCTGCTGTGCTCCTGTGCCGCCCGCAGTCAGCCTGGGATGGGCCCAACTGTGACTCCAGGCCAGCTCCCCAGCCACCTCAGCTCCACATCTTTGGAAGCTCGTCCCCAAAACAGGGTTCCCAGGAAGAGCCCCCGGGAGGTGTGGGGTGCCCAGGGCCTTTCCTCTGCGGGGCTGCGCTCAGAACTCTGATTGACCGACCGACCGACCGACCGAGGACACTGTCCTAACAAGCAAAGGAAAACAGGAGGTTCCTGTCTGAGCGCCTGCCTCCCCACGCAGCCCAGCTGCCAGTTGGGCCGTGTTTTATGGTTAAAGTGGAAATCAGGGTGGAGTTGGCGATGATCTTTGCAGGTTTAGCCTGGAGGAGGGCGGGATGGTCCCTTGGCGGGATGGAGCCTGTCTCCTTCCCGTCCCCAGGCCAGGGCTCCGTGGGGCTGCCCGTGGGGGGTCAGGCCACCGCCGTGGGCCCGCCCATCACGCCGCCGCGCCTTCTGGGGGGTCCGCGGCGGGTCTGACGGACACAAAAGCCTGAGGCCGGGGCCCCCTGAGGTGGGCGTGGGGCCGCCGCTCCCCGGTGAGCTCAGCCTTCCGTCCTCTCCGGCCACTGACGGGAGCGGTGCCGGGGACCTGGGCATTGAACTAGGCCGCCAACCGGCCCACCCCAGAGGAATGGCCGTGGGTGAGACCCGGCAGGGAGCCGGGCTCTGCGGTTGGACCGGCCTGGTGTGAGGACCCGGGTCCCCGTGAAGAGGGTGACGGCTTTGGCGGGAGCTGTGCTGGGCCAGGCCCACCTCCGCCCCTGCGGAGCCACACGGCCGACTGTCCCAGCACCAGTGTGTGAGGAGCGCGGCCTCCTGGCCACCCTGGGGCTCGGCGGGTGACACACACACACACACACACACCCCGCCTCTGAGCCGTCCACGCGGCACTGCCTGCTGGGCCCTGAGTGAGCAGCTGCCGAGCAGCGGTGGATGGAGCCCGCCTGGGCCGGGCCGGGCCGGGGCCTGATGTGCGCCCTGGGCAGCTCCTCTCCCCTCGCTGGTCCGTCTCAGTTACCGGGCGTGACGTGGACGGTGGCCTGAGCAACGCCAACGCTCTGCAGCTGCTCCGCGGGCGCTCGGTCAGCTGCCTGTCCTGTGGGCCGTGCACAGTCCTGTGAGCCTCCGTTTGGTTCTTGCCTCTTCATTCGCCATGTGGTGGCCTCGGTGACCCATGCCCTCGGAAACGGGCTGCTGGCAGAGGCCCCTGGGCGGGAGGGCTTGTGGGCAGGAGCAGTGGGGCAGGGCGGGGACCCGTGCTGGAAGGTCCAGAAGGGAGGGCCGTGCGGAGAGCCTGGGGGGCGTCTGCTTCCAGCGGGCAGCTTGACGGGGTGCGCGGGCCTGGAACGGCCCCTCCCCAGTCCTGGTGGAGGCCCTGAGGAGTCCGTGCCGGGCTGTGGGGGCGGGGGAGAGCCCCACATTTGGACGTCGGGAGTGGTCGTGACTTTGCACCTGATACAAATGCAGGTGAACTCAACTCCACAAACAGAAAACACGGGAGAACCCGAGATGGGGTTCCGTCTGGGCCCTGGGTGTCCAGTGCTTTCTGACCCTCTTCCCAGCGGTCACGGGAGGGCGGCCCCTCGTGCTTGGTGGTACACCGGCCGGGGAGGAGAAGGGGCTCAGGCGCCCTGTGACTGCTGGGGACATTGGTCCTCTGTGGGCCCTCGGCGGAATGGGGACGAGGCCGTGTCCTCGGAGACCTGCCTTCCTGCAGCCCAGGTGCCTGCTGCACTCTGAGGGTCAGTGGCTCTGCCTCCACCGCCCTCCCCTGTGCCCCCCTCCTGAGTGGGGCGGGACCAGTTACGCTAGTCCAGTCGCCACTCAGAGGCGGGACTAGCTTCTTTGGAAACACTCCGAGCCTCAGGGCTGCAGAGCCTCGGCCGGGCATCCAACAGCCTGACATGACGGCCTGGTCTCAGCACCGGTGTCCGCGTGGCAGTGATGCAGTGGCCGAGAGTAACACCAGAGCACACGTCTGCGCACAGCAGCTGCGCCTGCCGCTGGTCCTGGTGCTTAGCGGTTTAGCTGGCGGTTCTCTTGGTTAGCGGTTTAGCTAGTGGCTTCGCCAGGGGCGCGGCGGTGAGTGCTGGGCTAGCTGTTGAGACAGAAAACGTGACCCGCTACAGAGGGATTGGTCTGAGGAGCTTGGTGGTGACCCCATGATGTGGGCACAGCCCCTGCGGCGCTGTGAGGGCAGGGATGGACGGACGGACAGACAGCTGCCGGCTGTGTTGATGCGTTCGACCTGCTTGCTGCTCCGGGGGAACTAGTCTGGTAGGGAATAAGCTGTGACCACAGCTTTTTGTTTGTGTGGATTTTAGGTTTTTAAATTTATTTTTAGAGAGAGAAAAAGGGAGAAGGAGAGAGAAATAGCGATGTGAGAGCAAAACAAAACAGACCAGCTACCTCCTGCCCGTCCCTTACTGTGGTTCTGTGGACCCACCATGCAGACCTGTTCTGGCCACGCCTGCCCGGCTCTGTCTCTGTTGGAATGTCAGCGCCACGTTCTTTGAGATTGGCTTTCTCACGTGGCAGCTCCCGGGGTCCCTGGCCACTCCCATTGCTGGGAAGGGGTGCATGGTGTGGGCCCGGAGAACCCCAGCTCCGCTGGGGCGAGCCTGTTCCGTGTTCAGCTCTGAGTCAGCTGCAGTGAACATGCCTGTACATGTCTGTACGTGAACGTTGGTGTTCATTCCCAGGTTAAATGCCCAGGGTCGCTTAAGTTTTACCCGGTGAGTACAGGGGAGCGAGGTGGAGGGTGTTGACAGAGGGCAGGGCTGGTGCTCAGGGGGTGGGGTTGGGGGGCCTTGCCAGAGGCTCCTGCGGGGGCCTCAGCCCCTTCTTCCTTCACTGCAGACCCATCGCCACCTCCCGGGCTCCCCTCCCACGCAGCCTCAGGTTTGGGGTTTTTAGAAAGGAAACCCAATAATGGGCAAATGCAGGGTCTAACCCTCACACACACGCGAGGGAGTTATCTGAAGTCAAGGCGCCGAGCTCCTTGGCCAAGTTGGGAAGAGAACAGAACGCGGTGTGGGCGCCTCTGCTGGGAAGGGAGCCCTGGTGGAGGCGCCCACCACGGTGCTCAGCTTAGTGACCCCAACACATCAGCTGCGAGAGCGCCCAGGCCCTGCAGACAGCCCTCTGGGCGCCCCGGGCACCGCCGCAGCCTTTGTGTCCCTGCAGCGTGCCGCCGATGGCCCAGGGTCCCGGAGAGCAGCCTGGGGGGACAGAGGGGCGGAGGCCACTCCCGAAGGTGAGGGTCCTCCCGGGCCTCTGAGGGGCGGCCTGCGGGTTCTCTGCACCTCTTTGCAGGCTGTGTGCTGGCTGGGGTGAGGCCCCTCCCGGTGCCGGCGGGGCTGGCTGGTCAGAGGAAGGTGTGCCCTGCCTGGCGCAGCCCGGCTTGTACTGCGGCTTCAGCCCCGCTCCTCTGCTGTGCCTCCGTTTCCAGTCCATCGTCTTTGCGGTGGAGACAGCTGTGCAGGTCAGAGGCTGCGGTTTGTGCACGTGGCCTCTGGTCTCTGCCCCGCGCCCCGCCCGGCCCGCAGGCCGGAGGGCTCGGAGGGCTAAGGTCTCCCCGTCTCCGCAGGACACACCATGTTCGCCCGCGGGCTGAAGAGGAAGAACGCGGACGGCGAGGACAGCCCGCCGGCGCCGCCCTCCTACAGCCTGCAGCGCCAGTCGCTGCTGGACATGTCGCTGGTCAAGCTGCAGCTGTGCCACATGCTGGTGGAGCCCAACCTCTGCCGCTCGGTGCTCATCGCCAACACCGTGCGGCAGCTGCAGGAAGACCTGAGCCTGGACGCGGCCTGGCGGCTGCCGGCGCCCCCAGGCGCGGGGCGGGGGCCGCTGGAGCGCCTCGTCTCCACCGACATCCTGTGTCGAAGCCCCTGGGAGCAGCAGGGCGGGCACTCTGCTCCTGACTCGGGGGGCAGCCCCGCGCCAGACCTCTGCGAACTGCCGGGGGCCCCGAGTGCGCAGGCGCTGAGCAGCGCCCCCGGCTGCGCGTGGGAGGCGGACGGCCCGCGGGAGAGCCGGGGCGGCTTCCAGGCATCGCTGGACCAGATACTGGAGACCCTGGAGAGCAGGGCGCCCCGCGCGGCGGAAGGGCTGTTCGCGGACGTGGACGGGCCCTACTACGACCTGGACGCCGTGCTGACGGGCATGGTGGGCGCCAAGGCCGTCCCTGGCGACGGGTTCGAGGCCTTGGCCTCCGCGGGCGCCCCGCCCCCCGGCTCCAGCTGCAAACGGGACCTGGGCGAGCTGGACCACGTGGTGGAGATCCTGGTGGAGACCTGAGCCTGGCCCTGCCGCCCGCACTTGGCCGGCCCCGCCTGCCCACGGGCAGCCGCTGCGTGCCCACAGGACGGCCTGGCTGCCGCTGCTCGCCCTCCTCCGGCCAGGCCGGGCCGGGCCGGGCCGCACTCGGCGGCCGCTCCCGGAGGTCCGGCCCCAGCGACAGCGCCTGCGGTCCTGGGTGAAGTTTTAAAGATTGAGTTTTATACGTTCTGGGCAACATTTTGCTTAAGATATATTTTGTAAACTTTTTATTATCTCTGGACTTTCCCAGCTATTTTGTGAAAAGTATATTTTTTCTATGAACGTCCTTTGCTGCTAATAGACCGTCTGTGACCCAAGCGCCTGCAGTCGGTGTGTTTACTTCCCGAGGTCGGTTCTTTCTGGCGAGGGTCCTCCCTCCCGAGTCAGCTTCCCTGCAAGCTCTGGAGCCGCCCCACGTGCTGCCACGGCGGGGGGCCTCCCAGCTTGGTGGGAAGCGGTGTAGGCTCTGCAGGGTTTAATGGATGGCTGTCCCACATCCTGCATAATAAAAGGCTAATATGCAAATAGACTGAGTGAGATGCGACAGGGACTGGACACTTTAGTGCCAATCACAGGGCGGACCTCAACACAGGAGCTGAGCCTCTTGCCTCTGAGGCAGCGCTAAGGACCCCTGGGGGTTCACTCCTGCCGGCAGGCGGACACTCCCCTCCCCCCAGTGCCCCGATGTCACGTGCTGGGCCTCTGGTTTATGTGTAAATGTTCTTGGAGGCAAAGGTCAGATTGCTGTCTGGCCCTCGTGGGTCTTCAGACACCTTAGGGGTCTCTGGTGCCGACCTCGGCACAAAGGCCTGTGCACACGCTTCCTGTTGGTGGGCCCGGCCGTGCCTGCTGGGACCCACTGTCCAGGTCAGTGTACATCTGGGTTAAAGAGCGTGGACACGGGGATCGATGGCCCTCGGTCTTGAGGGAGTTGGTGGTGGGGTTGGCGGGGGTGCCTGCCCCTCCTCCTCCTCCTCTCCAGCTCACAAGGCACTGCCCTTCCCACACAGCTCCTTCCTGTCTCGCCTGCTTTCCTTCCCTCCCTAAGGTGGACTTTCTTCTGGGCACGTGGTGATTTCATGTCCGTGCTGTCGCCAGTCTTCCGCTTCCGGGAACTTGAGGAATACCTCGGAAGTGGAGGTGATGGCTCCTGTCACGCAGGGTCCGCCCTGGGAGGTTGGGGGAGCCGCACTCCTGGGCAGGAGAGGCTCTGCATGCCCGAGGTGTTGCTGGCCGCCCTGGTAACTCCCGTGCTGAGAGCTGCTCAGCCAGGGCCGAGGGTTCCAGACTCAGACTCCCCCAGGCGTGGTGCCCCTGGGTCCAGGCCCCCAGGCTCGGGGCCTGCAAATCCTGGCTTCCCCTCGGACAGAAAGGTGGGGGCGGGCGCACCCTCGGACAGAAAGGTGGGGGCGGGCGCACCCGCTGCGCATGGGCACTGCCGGGGCTCCCAGGGGTCCTGCCCGCCGTCTTCAGGAGCCTGGTGGTCGCTGTGGGTCACGCAGAGACCCACTCCTAGTGGGAGTCCAGCCAGGCTCTCGCCCTGGGCCAGCCGCGCAGGAGGGAGGACGCTCCGGAGACCGGACGGCCTGGGGCCGCTGCTCGCCACTGCCCAGCCGCTGCCTGTGGCTTGCTCGGGCGTGCGGGTGGCCCGCCTGGGCCCGGGTCTGTGGAACACAGCCTGGCCTCGCAGGCGCCCGGACCGTCCGGCGCAGGGCCGTGTCCTCAGACTATGGGGACTCGGGCCGGGTGGGCAGGGGTCAGCGAGGTCCGGTCCGGCCAGAGCAAGGGAGAGTCCGGGCGCTCGGGGACGGCGGCGCGAAGTCCGCCAGTGGGGCCGGGACTCCGGGGAGGGTCCCCGGGAGGGAGCCGCAGCTGGGCGCGCTCAGGCGGTGTCCGGCTCAGGCCCCCAATCACGCCTACGGCTCCAAGTCCGCATGCGGCTCCCGCTGGTTGCCCAACAACAACGCTCCCCAGTCCTACTTCTGGAGACGCCACCCCGACGTCACAGCCTGGTGCAGAGGGCGGGGCAGCTCCAGGCCACGCCCCTCGGAGCCCCGCCCCCGGCGCGCCCAGACGCTGTGGGCAGAGGGGCTGACGTCACCCTGCGAGGCCCCAAGCGGACTGTCCGGCGGCTGGCGACACCTTCCCGCCTTCCCGCGGGCTCCCCGCCCCCGGCCTTCCTAGCGCGGATCGAACCTGGGGCGGAGGAGCGTCCTGCTCCCCGGCCCCTGCAGTGCCCGGTCCTGCCCGGTCACCAGCCCTCCTGCTGCTGCTGCCATCGGGGCGAGGGGCGCTGGCCAGGCTTCCCTCAGCCCCACCCAGGGCCCGCAGTCACCCGCGGCGAGCCGGCCTCCCCGGCGCAGCCCTCAGGGCGGGACCCTCACCCCGCCGGCCAGTCCACCCGCGCTCACGTCCCTCACCCGGGGCCTCTGGGCTCTTCCTGGGCCGTCCTGTGTGCACGAATCACCCCCTCTCCCTGGTCCTCAGCCAAGCTCCTGGGAACATAAGTTTAAAAAGTCACCAGATGAGATCATTCTCTGAACGCTGGACCGCAGCCTCCTGCTCCCGGCCCTGCTTCCCGCAAACAGCCGGCTCTGCAGTGTGTGAGCAAACACACGCCCAGCCAGACTGCCCAGCCTGGACAGACACCGGTGACACCGCCCATAAGAGAGGGGGCAGCCCTGGCTAGAGTGGTTGGAGCATCAGTCTGCAGATCGGCGCCCGTTGGATTCCCAGTCAAAGGCACATGCCTGGGCTCACATACCTGGGTTGCAGGTTCAATTCCCACGTTCGGAAGGCAACCAATCAATGCGTCTCTCTGGCATTGATCTCTCTCTCTCTCTCTCCCTCCTCCCTCCCTTCCACTCTCTCTAAAAGATCAATGGAGCCCTAACTCATTTGGCTCAGTGGATAGAGTGTCGGTCTGCGGACTGAGAGGTCCCAGGTTCGATCCGGTCAAGGGCATGTGCCTTGGTTGCGGGCACATTCCCTGTAGGAGGTGTGCAAGAGGCAGCTGATCAATGATTCTCTCTCATCCATGTTTCCAACTCTCTATCCCTTTCCCTTCCTCTCTGTAAAAATCAATAAAATGTATTTTAAAAATAAATAAACAAAAGATCAACGGAGAAAATGCCCTTGGAGGCAGGAGGCTCAGAGTCTGAGAGAGGATGGAAGGCGGGGGCAGGGGTCGGAGGGACGTGGGGGCCAGAATGCAGGTCGCCTTGAGAGGCTAAAAAGGCAGTGGTCTTCCCTGAACCCCCAGAGGCACACAGCCCCCCCCCATCCCCCACCTCATCACTGTGAAAGAACAAACTGTAACTCTGTGCGCGGTCACTGTCACAGCGGCCACAGGGGCATACCTGGTGACCCCACGCAGGAGGTGCTCCGGGGGTGAGCCAACACCCAGAGGGGGCAGCAGAGGGGACCCCGACATTGGATGCTCAGCCCTGCGGAAGGAGGGGGTGAGGGCAGCCCAGGCTGAGAGGTGGCCCTGCTGCTCAGGTCAGCATCTGGACAGACAGACCGGCATGGCGCGGGTCCCAGCCGCAGACCAGGCCTCAGGGAGCGGGCGGGGCAGGCAGTTTAAGGTAAGCATGCTTCACTGGCTGGGAGAGGCTGGCCAGCAGGCAGGTCCCCCTTAAAGTGGGGTTGCAGGGGCGTGAAGTGGGGTGCAGTGTGGTCAGGAGAAAGGGCCCCTGTGGCCCTCCCAGGTGCCTCAGGAAGGACCCCTCGGCCTGTCCTGAGCCCCAGCCCTGCTGCAGGGAGTGGGGGGGGGGGGTAGCTGTGGAGGTGCAGGTACCCGCCCCGTGCCCCTCGGGGTAGGCAGGGCCATGGCAGAGCTATTTTTGCTTCTGCTGCTGCGGCTGCTGCAAAGGTGCATCAATCATCGATGCTCCTTGCGTCCCTGCTGCCCAGAGTGGCCAGGAGCCCGGTGCGGGTGGGTGCAGCTCTGCCCATAGCCAGCCTGCAGAGATGTGGCTGGAGCCCAGCTCCTCACCCTGCCTCCAACAGTGCCCTGCACCCGTACCAGCACCCAGGTGCCAGCCTGGAGGCGGCAGGCGAGCCTGGACCCCTGACCCGCGGCCAGGGCCAGGGCCGGGGCCTGGGGAGGAGGCCTGTTTGTGGATGGAGAGAGACTGCAGGGCCGCACGGCCCCCTGGGTGTGGTCCCCAGAGGCGGTGTGTATGGGGGGCAGGGGGGGCTGTGAGGTGGGCCCTGTCTCCATGCCTCTGGGGGACAGCGTTCCTGAGCCACGCCCTGATGCCGTGGCCGTAGGAAGTAGGCCATCTGTCCCCAGAGGGGCACACGGGACTGGCTGCAGCTGAGAAGGACGCGGCAGCTCCTGGCGCACAGGCTCTGCACAGGCACGTGGCCAGGCCTCGGCTGGGGGTCGGGCCGGGCAGGGAGGCACCGAGCAGTTTCCTGGGCCCACTGGGCGCCTTCTCCCGTCTGGCCCTGGGGTCGGGGCCTGCAAGCGGGAGGAGGGTGGGAGGGGAGGCAGGGCCTGACCAACTTCCGGACAGTCCCCCTCTGCACACTGTGGGGTACGCTGCCTGTGGGGCAGGGCCTCCCAGGGATAAAATGGGGTCCCGTGGCCCTAGGGGCCCCAGGGGTGAGCACAGCAGGTGGCGTCCGCCTCTGCTTTAGAGCAGGCAGGAACGGGGAAAGGGCAGCCCCTGGGCTGGGGTCCCTGCCCCCGTCTGGAATCTGGGGGGACCACTGACTGCACGGGGGCCAGCAGTGCGTGGCTCAGCTGCTTCCTCGGGGCTCAGGCCAGGCAGTCCCAGCCCCTCACCTGACACCCCTCTCCCCCGCCCACGGAGCCGCTGGGAGCCACCACAGGCGAGCATCCTGCGTGACCATCAGGACATGCCAATGTCACACGGAGTGAGCTGCTCCCTCTGGGTGGGGCCCAGGGTCCCCACACCTCACAAGGTCACATGCCCAATGGGGACGCGGAGCCGTGCCCCAAGGTCTCC